ATGGAGGAAACACCCCGAATGCGGGGAATGGAAGCAAAAAAGGATGGATGTTGTAAGGTCATGATTGTCAGCTGTGTCCTTGAATGAGAAGAAAGGGGGCCTTGACGGAAGAGAGCGCGACCGCATCAGGACGAAGAGGTTGCCACGCGGCAGGGTTTTTGAATCAAGGGTAGAAAACTCTCACTCAGAGTGTCTGAGAGTCAGGTAACATGTAATTTGTAGCTTCTGACGTTGAAATCAAATTTCTAAGTGACGTGTTGCATTAAAGCGATTTCCGAAGTCGTCCTGGACAACTGTGTACATGTAACGGAATATATATCAATCTCTACCAGCAGTCATGACACCAGCCTTAAATCAAATAAAGAATAAAAGGGCCATAGTCTGGTGCAATTTGCTTACGAGGAAAGGGGCATGGAAAAGAACTCCTGCGGGATGTGTCGACAAGACGGCTGTGCCGCTAGTACGGCTTTCCACACCTGCAGAACATATCATTCAAATTTGTAAGGTACACGCAGGTTTGACAAACTCATTAAATTGTCGTAAGAGCCTAAGCTAATCATCGCGCTGGAATTTGTTCCTTTCCTTTGTCTTCGAATGTTGACCCCACACACAGAGACAACGCGTTATAATCAAAACAAAAAGATCGCGATCATCATCATTGTCTGAGTCACCATACCGGTGCATCATCGAAGGCACCCAACTACGCAAGTAAGCCGGCTGCACGCTCACATATACGCCAAGAAGTCGCTTCCCTATCAAATCCAGACACCCAACGTGGCCCTTTCCTTCTCCCTCGTCGGCACAAAACAAAGTTATGGTCGGTACATCCTCAGACTGCAAAAAAGATATCCATGATCGACAGGCGCCACAGGGCTTCGCAACCCTAGGCGCTACCTTCCAAGGCATATTGGAGGATTGCTGCATTAGCATTTCCTCCCGTCTTTGTCCCACATCCTTGCTATAGAAACTGCCTTCTAAATTCTACCATTATCTCACTTTCTAGTCCACGCAAGCGCGGCTTTCTTGCCCCGTTCGGCCCCGCCCTGAACGTTGGCTACCTCCGATCTGTTTGCTTACTATGTACACCCTACCCAGGCAACATTCCTTCACTCACTACACATTCCCCTGCTACCGCAACGCTTCTTGTGCCTTAGTCAACAGCTCCCTCTCCCTAGTCTCGACCACTGCGGCCACGGCACTCAATCCCTTCCCTGCTCCCAGTCCCTGAAGGACGCTCTTGTTTTGCTCGTTCCCTTCCGCAAGTGCCACCACCCCCGCCAGGGCGCTGAGGGTGACCGCTCCCCTCCCTTTCCCTTCCTGTAGTCCTCCCACTACCGCCCCGCAAGCACGAGGCCAGGAAGTCTCCAAGTCCCTCTGGGGGAGGGAAGCTACCAAGTCCAAGCACAAGCGTTTCGCGTGCATTTCCGCGGTGTCTATAAGAGAGGAGGACGCGGCGGCGGTATTCGGGAGTGAACTCAGACGGGACCGTTTCTGGGACAGCAGGGAAGGCGGGGCGGGGGGAGGTGGGAGCATGAGTGTCGAAGGGGCGTGGGAGTGGGAACGAGGGTGGCTGATTGCCAGGCCCCCCGCAACCTCCTCGAACATGGTATGTACCGACGCGTCGTCGCTCAATATGGCAACTTCGTCTGTGCAAGGACAGGATTTTGAAGGGAAGGCATGAGTCTTACTCTATTGGAAGTTTCGGCCAGGGCACATTGATAACTGAGACATGCTTTTGGTCATTTCTTGTTCGACACTCACCAGGGGCACAGTCCCTTGCCACCAAAGTCAGCCATTTCAAGATTCCCAGAGCCGAGAGGCGCGTAATTTCCTTCTCGTCCAATACGTTTGAGGAGTAGGAGGAGTGGGAGGAAGCGACGGAGGAAGAGGAATGGATCTGCTTCCATACCGCCCTGAGAATGGAGAGCACTGCACGCACGTAGGACGGTCCCGAGGGAACAGGGAGGGTGCTGGCCGCGATGTCACCATCACCTTCCGCTTTGACCTCCGCGTGGCCATTGGCCTGATCGTGGGAGCCGTTGCCATTTCCATTAGTGTGGAGATTGGATGCGTGCTGGCAGGTGCGGATCTGGCCCGGCGAATCCATTTCCTGTAGAACCACGAAGAGAAGGGCGGGAAAGATAGGGACGGTGAGAAAATCATTTTTGCAGGGGAGCAAAAGCTTTCGGTGCTCCTTTTTTTACCACTTCCTGTTTCGCGCCTTACCTGAGCTGCTAGGGAGACGATCAAGCCCAAGGCCGCACTGCCAATGTCCTCGTCCGTAGGATGCAGGGCAAGGGAGAGTGCTACCAGAGAGAGGACGCTGGGAGTGATCAAGGAGGACCGTTGTAAAGGGCTTCCGTCTTCCGCGAGATTCTATAAGGAGAATGGAGAGATATATTGGGAGTGGAGTAATGAGTAACGACGGAAGAAGCGCCCGAGCGTTGGCTGAGCATCATCCAAGGAGTGAAACAGGAAAGTGAATGACTCGTTCGTACCTGAAGGCAAGAGAGTGCAAAGTGTTGCAGAACAGGCTGGCTGGGGTGCGCCTTTACCACGTCGACCAAGGCCGCCATCATCTGCGGTCGAGGAGAGCAAGAGGAGGGAAGATATACGTGCGTGAGCAATCGCCTTGGGACTATCCAGAGGAGAAGCGTGGTTGTCCCCCCACCCGGCTTGACGACTTCGTAAACCACCCCTTTCTGTCTCATCTCGGTAGTGACCTCACCTGCTCGTTCCAGACACGTTCCACTGTCTCAGGACTTTCCTCCGTCAAAGTTGCGAGGACCATGCAGCATTTTTCTTGCAGGGACGCCACGGACAGGTATCGTTTCATTAAGTCGAGCACGCAGCGGGTGATTCCGGACTGGGAAAATGGTGAGGACGTGAAAAAGAGCGAGAAGGACGGACATGAAGAAAACGGCGTCAAAATTGGATAGATTCTGGTTCCATGTCCTATTTCCCCAACTAAACAGATTTCCCGATCAATCGGCCCTCGCATTTCTTCCGTTGAACAGCACTGCTCTTGCCATCTCATCCTTTCACGATTTCTTTTTCTCCCTTTTTACCTGCAAAAGCATCTCCCTGGCCGTGGGACTCGCGTCTGTAATAAGAATCGCTACTTCCAGATAAATGTCTTGCGAGTCTTCGTCGCGCGCATAGTTCTCCATCGCGGCAACAAAACTGGGGAAGATCGGAAAACGAAAGGAGAAAGGGAAAGAACAACAAGAGTGAGGAGATGAGGATTTAAGCAACGAGTACACTCTGGTGTTGGTGGACATATATGAAGAGGAAAGAAGAAGGGAGAAAGGGAGGAAAGATACTGACATCAAAATGCTAAAATAAGTAGGGATGGGAGGACTCACTTGGATGCCGTGGGCTGGTCATCAAGTAGTGGGTGGCGGCCATTGACTACTTCCAGTAAGAAGAGAAGGGCGGGCGAGGCAGAAATTTCCAGTTCTGACTCGGCCGGGATGGTGGCCAGTGCACGCACCAAAGCCTTGGAGAGAAAGCGAAAAAAGTGTTGTGCATTAAAAACAGTGTAATGCAGGGTGAATATGCGCTGCAGTCAACTACCAGAGAATTGAAAGGCTCACTTACTCCCATATTCCCTTTTCTCCCTCTCGCTTTCCCCCACCCTGTCTTTCATCTTTCCTGCTTCTTACCTGGAAGGCCTGTGCTTCAGCCATCCCGTCCCCATCCCTCGTTGGCCCATTGAGATCGGTCGGCCTCTCCTTGGCCGGATTTTCCCTGTTCCACCCCACCGCCTGCTGGAAGGGCGGAGGTTCCGAACCGTTTGCCAGGACGGAGGGAGGGTGATGGTGGAACTTGTGCTGCGCCGAGGGGGAGGTGAGAAGGAAGGCAGTCTTGTTCAAAAGAATGGTGGTGGCTGTCGGTGAGAGGAGGGTGGAATGGAGGGAGGAAAGGAGGGGAGGAAGATGGTGAGGGGACGTAACGGTATTCCACGCTGTTCGCAGAGGAAAAAAAGAAAACGAGAGGAAAGAACACATTTGTGTGCATAGGGATTTTAAAAGAAATATCAAGAATACGTAGTGGAAAGCAGGAAGGTAGAAAAAACGGAATCCAAGGGGAACGGAGAGGGACGCACCTTTTTCTGCCAAACGCTGTGCCAGAGCCAAAGGCATGTAGAGCGCAACCATGGCCGCTGAACCCGCCACGTGGATCTGTCGGAACGAGTGACTGGTGGATAAATAGGGCGGGCTCATGTGCGTCGTTGGGTTCCCTTCCCAGCCGTCCGCCAAGTCAGGCCCTCGGCCATTTCTCGCCCCTTGGTTTTCTCACGTCCCGTCTACCCCCGCCTCGTACCGCCACGTCGAACGGGTGCTTGTTAAAGATTTGTGTCACAACCAACGCCGCCTTCAGGGCCACCAATCGATGCCGATTCTCCGCGTGCTGCCAGGCAAGTTTGGCGATGGCGAAGCAGCATTTGACCTGATACATACGCGGGGGCAAGACGTCGAGGGAGGAAGGGAAACCGGCTCTATGTGAGCACCTTTGGCCAGAATTGATTTTTTTATCGAGGTTTTTCACTCAAAACAATGCCGTCTAATTCACGATGTTTTGGCTCGCGAATCCCTGAAAAAGCAGTCCGCTCTAAGCCGTCCGCTCCCACTTTTCCTCCCTCCCGCTCTACCTGCAGGTCTCTCGCGTCAGGATGAGCGGCCATGACCGCCAATAGAACGCGGCAACAATCCAGCTGCCCCAGACAGCTTCGTTCGACGGCCCCGCGAGAGGATAGGCTGGAGGGAGGGGGGAAGGAGGGGGCAATGCTTGGATTAGAATGCCCACAGGGAAAACGGACTGACGCAATCATGTTCAACAACCGAAAAACGAGTTTTCCGCTAGATTTTATGATGTATCTCTCGCACGTATATATATATTACATAACGCATCATGCCTCCGTCATGCATGCATGCGCATGAAAAAGAAAAAGACGCTGCCTCGGAACATACCTGTAGATGGCCGTGATAGCCCCGTCTAACACGTCCAAGTCCCTCCAAAAGGTCTTCATCATCTGGACCAGGATGGCGCCGGCGCCCGCTTCGAAAACCCTCTGGGTGTTGGCCTCATGCCGGGAGAGAAGGGCATTTAGAGCGTAAAGGCCTGTCGAAGAGGGAGGGAAGGGAGCAGCGAGGGAGGCAGGGAGGGAGGGAAGGAGGGAGGGGAGGAAAAGAGAGGAATGAGGGAGGGCCAAAAGCACCCAGTGATCTGGTTGATAGACTAGAATAAATGTGGTTTAGGATTGAGAAAGAAAAGGCGGGACCAAGGTCAAGGAAGAGGAGTGCGTACCTGAGAGTTGGATCCCATAGTCGTCGGGCCATTGACGGAGGCTTTCAGTGACGCGAGAGCACAGACCTGCGAGGCCCAGACGGTTCTGCCATTCAGGATGGCCGGTGGCTAGACCCACGAGTGCCTGGAGGACAAGAAAGAAGGCCGGAGGGCGGGGGGGGATAAACGCATTGGAAAAACGCGATCCGGGTCGTTGGACTCGGTTCCTGCGCCGATAATCCTGTAGTGTCATGCAGCTCCCTTTGCCATCCTCGCACAGCTTCCTTTCCCTTCATTCATTTCCCCAGTGTACCTGACAAGCGGCGGCTTGTAAGTCCTTGTCGTCGGTATGCATCTCAAAAATGCGCGTGAAGAGCTCTTCAGCTGACTCCTATCGTGGAAGGGACAGGGACAAGGGAACGAGAAAAGGCGCCAAGGAATGAGATATTAGGACAGGATTCCACAAGTAACGTTTACAAATAGCAGGGTTTGGTTACATATTAGCTAATAGAGGTAAAACGACGGGGAAAAGTATGAAATGCAGGGAGCGAAATAGGGTGGGAGGGAGGGAGGGAGGGAGGGAATACCTGTTGGAAGTTCGCCCTTGCCCCTTCGCTTTTGGCAGCCAGGGCTTCGATTGCTTCCAAACCCATTAATTGGATGCAGCGATCCCCGCTGAAAGTCTGCATTGCCGTCACGACGAGACGACAGGCCCCCAGCTCGCCGAGACGAGTGACGTTTTGGATCGAATACTGGGGGGGCGGAAGAAAGGAACCAAGACCCACGGTGGCATATGAGTATCAAAATACATCAACACCAATTATTCAAGAAAGTCGTAACACAGCTTAAGTGAAATACGTGGAAGAGGAAGGGAGGGAAAAGTAAGGGAGGGTAGGAGACAGAGGGGG